AAGCTAATGTTTGGCAGAAAGAGGGTGATAACGTGCTAGGTAATTTGAGGAAGCCTAAAGGTCGTGACATAGTTTATAAGGTGTATGATATCTTGAGGAATGAAGAATGGAGTGTCGATTTGGAGAAGCTAGAAAATTTGAAACTCAATTTCAATCGTAATCTGGTGCAAGGGGTTTTGGAATTATCGGGCATTGAAACGTCTAAAGCTTTGTTATTCTTTCGATGGCTTGATGTGCCTGGCCGCTTCAAGCATGATGGGAAGACCTACAACTCAATGGCTAGGGTTTTGGGGAAAGAAAACATTGACCAGTTTCATGAGTTTATTGAAGAAATGAGGAGTCTTGGTTACCATATGGAAAGTAAGACTTATGTTACAGTTTTGAACAGGTTTCTTAAGGCTGAAATGATTACGGAAGCTGTAGAGCTATTTGAGTTAGCTATGGCTGGTAGAAACAAACCCACAGAACAGTTGTGCCACTTAGTGCTTTGCACAATTTTCACAGCCAATAAAGATATGGATCTGATTTCAAGAACGGTAAAAGCTTATACGAGAAATGGCAAAATTTTGTCGGACAGTGTGCAGGGGTATGTGCTTCGTTCTTTGAAAATGGTTGGTAGAGATGAACTGACGGACGAGGTGTTGAAAGCAATGAATGAGGGCGAAGGGAATCTTGGCGAAATGGATACATTGTTGTTGACGCATGTGGTGAAAAAGATTGTAGACGCTAAATCTAATGGAATTAAAGTTTCCATGATCCCAGTGTCAGCGTGGATTGTACTAAGAGCTTTGAGATGGCAAGGTTTTGACGCCTACTTGGTAGGTGGTTGCGTCAGAGATCTCCTAATGAAGAGAACACCAAGGGATTTTGATGTCGTCACCACCGCTTCTGTTGATCAGGTTTTGTTAATTTAACAATACCAGTATTCACTTTAATACTCTCAATCATGCTCTAACTTGAACTTTTACAGGTTCGTCAATTATTTGAGGATTCACAAATAGTTGGAAACAAGCATCCTATATGTAAGGTCTCGATAGGCGAATCAGTTATTGAGGTTAGTAAATTACTTTTTTTGGTTTTTTCCCTTAATTTAAATACTTTTATTTGTTGTCAAACACTTTGTGTATTGTTTGTGGTCAGGTCTCCAATGTAGGACGACCGCTTGTTCCTTCTTCACTACCCTGTGAATGGGATAAGATTGACTACATTCTGTACGCAAACAGTCAAAAACGGGACTTCACAATTAACAGGTGAATTTCTAGTTGAATTTATCTTTATTTACTAAAACACAGTTGAATTCATTTTATTTAATAAATCAGAAGTCAATTGACAATTCTAACATGTCATTCACTTTTTTTTTCTAATATAATTTGTTTTTTTTTTTAATTTCTAAACCCACGATTTCTCTTCTTAATTTTCCACTTTTATAGCAATTAAAAATAATTTATAGCATTTGATTTTTTTTCTCCCGTTATTAGCATTTAAATAATTTTTATTTTTCCAACCAAAACTATTAATAAAAAATTCCATCAGAATTGGTTATCCAACCCGGCGAATTGTTGCTTACATAAAAAAATTCAAAATCTCTATTACGTGTAGAACGGGATAAAAGTCTGCATTTAAATTAATAGA